ATAGGGCCGATCCCGGCCGACTCTCCCAGCTGCTACACGGATCGTTGAAGACTGGCCTGCCCCGAGCGCGGCGTTCGACATCAAAGCCGATGAAGAGGGCACCACCAGGGCCGTCTCCTCCCAGGACCAGTTCGGTCGCATCATTGTGGGGACCACCAAGTGGGGATTGGTACAGCGTCCGGACTATGCCGTCACGTACTATCAGTGGAGCGACACGACTCCGATCTCCCTTTCCTCTGCTATCCCAGCGACGATCATCGGGATGCCTGACCCCGCGCACGTCGTCGTCGGGTTCGACGCGGATAAGAGAGAGATAGGCATCAACGCTACGACATCCACGGATGTGGCGAACACGATGGCGAGCTATGCGATGCGAGGCATACTGTGGGCGAATGAGAAGGCGGCGGGATGGGTCCTGAAGTTCTTCTGGCCTTTCTAGTGGTGTTCCTGTGAGGGAGTCCTTGTATGAATAGTTGACGTTCCCGAAACGCTGTTCCCTACATAAAACCCTATGTCCACATCTAGACCCATTGTAGTCTCTACGGCTACCGAGTCCGTGCTTTCGTATTTTGTGCCGCATTTGATGGCTAGCATGGAACTTTAAGCCTGCTCATAGTCAGACGCGTTACCATCACGCTAGGCGGCCTGCACACAATGAACCCCCCCATATATATATCATGTGAACACATGCAAGACTAGCATCTGCTTCGTGTCCATAGCTGTTCATCGCTCCTTGTCTGTGTTGGTGGCGGTAGGTCCGTGGAATCCGTCGCTGCATGGGCAGAGAGCGATCACGTATGATTGGCCAGATACAAGACGCAGGACAAGGCTCTCTAAGAATGACGACCCTCTGAATTTGCAAATGAGGGTGTCTTAAGTACCGTAAGCGGCCGTACTGAAGAACATACATATATCCTGATGTAGTCGTACGAGATGCGAAGTGGAACGAGCTCATTGGTCTACCGTACGTCTCTGTTTAAACTTTGAATTCATCCGGGATGACGTCCTGTAATCGGCGACCCAACACAGTCCCATTGAATGCCCCGGACCACAACATCGTCCCGTCGGGAGTGAAGGCAACATGCGAGACCCAGGGATCGTCGTGATCGGAGAGCACCGCCAAACACGACCCATCGCTCGTCCTCCATATCCTCACCGTCTCAGCTGCAGAAGCGATATACGTCCCGCACGGGGAGAAGCACGCCCCGCGCACCCCTATTTCGTGCCCGTCCAGCGACCGCACCATGGCACCCGTGTGCGCATCCCACACCTTCATCGTCCGGTCGTCCGACGCCGAGAGCAGCAGCCGACCATCCGGGGAAAATACCACATCAGTGACTGGGTCTTCGTGCGCCCTCAAGAGCAGACACTGTTGTCTATTCGCCGCGTCCCACACGCGGACCACCCCATTGTCATACCCAACAGCAATATGCGTACCCAAGCGACTGAAGGCGGCGCTGATGGGATAAACGTCCTCGCCACGTGTCGGCATGTCGAGCGCGAGGCATGCATCGGATACAAAATCGAGCACGCCACAGCTGCCACCATGGGGAACGAGAAGCCGATGGCTATCAGGGGAGAACAGGGGCTTAATATGTGCCATCTCGGAGTCCACAGGTAGTGGCTGAAACGTTCGTCCATCCCAGACTCGTACGATGTTGTCGCTGTCTCGGGATGCGATGTAGGCACCGTCGCTAGACCAGGCGCAGCCTTCGACGATACTCGAGTGACCTTCGAGGGCAACGACTTGGTGTGATGTGCCGCTGATGTCCCAGATGGCGACCTTCTCATCTTTGCCTGCAGACGCGAGGTGTCGACTGTCTTGGGAGAATGCGAGATCCCAGACCTTCCCGTCGTGGGCGAACCACTCTTGCGAGATGCATGCGTCTCGGGCATCCCACAGGATAACGGTGGAATCCTTGGAGGCCGTCGCTACCCACCGCCCATCTGGAGAGATGACCAGAGCGCTGACGGCCGAGTCGTGCCCCGGTTTTCCGGCTGCTCAAGTCAGCGTCCGACTCTGGATCACAGTCAGTGAATGGGACGCACAGTATCTGACGTCTTCCACCAGCGCCCCTTTCCCACTCAGTGGCCGGAAGCACCTGCTGAACTCGTCCGGCCAGGAGATCGTCTTCCGCACATTCAGGATTAGGCCGCCAGGAATCGTCAATAGCAGGCGATGGCAAGGATATCCGAGCAGGACTTGGTCCAATCTTGCACAGAGCTCTAGGTTGGCAGGTCGACGATATTCCCTGTATAGATGCACAACGTCGCGATGCCAAAGGACCAGAGTGATATCTCTTATTGCTGTCTGTTCTGGAGAACCACGCAAGGCTTGGATGGCACGGTTGATTTGCACGTCCTCGACTTGTATCCACCATGTCAACGAAGCCCGGCGGTTCTCGCATTGAGGAGGCGGCATAGATGATGACACTGATTTGAGTTCAATGAAGTATACGGCTAGGAGACAGAATGATGTACATACCAGTACGTTCCCCATTCATAGTTGCGTTCGTGGCCGCTATTTGAGTCATGTGAACCAGCAGCGCTGCAATGTCTGCGTTTACATGTTGGAGTATCTGTGAGGTCACCCAGACTTTCACAATCAAGGAAGCAGGTGATCATGACAATGCTCACATTCAGCGTTCGCAGCAGCAGCGGACGAGATAAATCAAGTTCTTCCACCAGAGGAGTACGTGACTGGATTATCACATATTCGCAGGTGAGGCTTTCGATGTTCGGGAAGATTGAAAGGAAATGAAGGAAGGCGGATCGCGTTCCGAACCTGGCACTGCGGATAGTCAGGGTTTGAAAGCCAGCCACGGATTGCATGCCACAGGACTGGGAGAGTTGGATATCGTCCCAAATCACAGACAGGATCCAATTGAATGTGAGATGACGGAGATTGGGGAGGATGGACAGCAGTGGGAATGGACAGAAATCGTCCCACGGAAACGAGAGAGATTGCACGACAGGCTGAAGATGCGGCTGAGCTCGGACAGCGTCGTAGAACCCCATGAGCTGTGTCGCACTTCGTAAGTGGACAGACTTGAAGAGGACAAAGAGGCTACGAGGATGGAGTTGGCTGCAGGTGAGAGCGAAGGCGCACAGCATAGTCGCGTCACCGGAGCAGTGGTCGATGGTTCTCTCGATGACCTCCCATGGCAGCGCGGGAGAACGCGCAGTTGATGAACCCGAAGGCGCGCGATGCAGGAGGTTCTTGTGCTCGTCTGATGAAGACATGGGTTGTCAGCGGAGACTTGTCGCCTATGGGTAACACGGTGAGTTCGAGATGAAGTAGGGCAAGTAACAGCAGCTTTGGGGCAGGCTCGATCTAATCACGCGCGAGTCGGGGAGGGCGGAAGGGGATATTGAACGTTGGTGTCAGTGCGCGCGGAGAACTTAGCGCGTTAAGCGCGCACGTGCTCCTCGCATCATTGACTGGATCATGTTGGCATCCTTTTGAAGCGACACAGCCTCAAGGTTGTGTCTCGGCGCTTGCGCCCACAGCCTATTGAGCTTATCTCGCGTTCTATCCAACTGTGGGGACTCCCCGCCGCCCAATTCTACCGTCCTTGCAGCAACCAGTGCCTGGCACTCATGGGTCCCCTCGGTAGCTCATGGTGTACGCCCAGACGTACTGATCATGCCCTCCATGATCGATTCAGATAGTACCTGGCCATGCTATACATGAGTCCGAGTCTTTCCCCCCACTGAGGCATTGATCTAGTATGCTAGATCCCCGTTGTCGGCCCATAACCTGTTCACGACCACGAGGCAAGGCATCTTGAAAGGGATCGCAATCACATCATGCAGGAGCACGGACTCGGTAGAGACCACAATGGGTCTGGATATGGACACAGGGTTTTATGTAGGGAACAGCGTTTCGGGAACGTCAACTATTCGTACAAGGACTCCCTCACAGGAACACCACTAGAAAGGCCAGAAGAACTTCAGGACCCATCCCGCCGCCTTCTCATTCGCCCACAGTATGCCTCGCATCGCATAGCTCGCCATCGTGTTCGCCACATCCGTGGATGTCGTAGCGTTGATGCCTATCTCTCTCTTATCCGCGTCGAACCCGACGACGACGTGCGCGGGGTCAGGCATCCCGATGATCGTCGCTGGGATAGCAGAGGAAAGGGAGATCGGAGTCGTGTCGCTCCACTGATAGTACGTGACGGCATAGTCCGGACGCTGTACCAATCCCCACTTGGTGGTCCCCACAATGATGCGACCGAACTGGTCCTGGGAGGAGACGGCCCTGGTGGTGCCCTCTTCATCGGCTTTGATGTCGAACGCCGCGCTCGGGGCAGGCCAGTCTTCAACGATCCGTGTAGCAGCTGGGAGATCGGCCGGGATCGGCCCTATCTCAGCCACGGTCTCGTCCGTGACCG